CATGCATAGACCAAGAATGGTAGTACACATTGGTCGAATGTTTTCTTCTTAGATAAAGTGGCATTGTAGATTTGAATATGATAGAGTTTCTTCCATAAGTAATATACTTGTAAATAAATGCCCTGTATATTCAGCAAAAAAACATTTAACTTTTCAGGTGGTAACCCAAGTGGTTTCTTGTTCTTGGCAATGGTAAGCCATTGAGAAAGAGCTATAAGGAGGATTCAGTCTGCTAGTTATTAAACTTTTTGAGAAGTATAGGATTGGAGAACGCAAGCTGGAAATTTCAGAAGAACACCACAATAGATCTGGAAAAATTTCAGTGGCACAATCATAATAGCCACCTAATCTAATTGTTCGTATGATATATTTTTTTCTGTACTTATCTTTTTTGAAGCACCTCGTACGTATTTAACTCATAACAGAAAATACTTTTTCCACAAATCTTATATATACACTCAGATGCAAAAAAACGCAACACAGAAATTATTGGTCAAATTTAAAGTGTTATATTTTTGTCATTTTTAGCCCGATTTTCATGAATTTTTAGCAGACTGTATATAATCATGTCAACTTAATAATAATAATAATAATCGTCTTTATTGAAGAAAAAAAGATGTGTAACATTACATATATTATTACACACCATGCAATAAGGGTGGCGAAATTTAACAAAAAAAGTTATTCTTACATTTAACCACCCATAGCTGCCATAAGATATTTATTGAAAAATACGTTCAAAAGACAAAAAAGACAAAAAAATATGTTCTATAAACTAACAAATTAAAAAATATACATAGTTAATTCTTATACACATGGCATAATAAATAATTTTAAAAAATAAACAAAAAATACAAAACCATCATCATTCCTGTGAAGACATTCAAGAGAACATTTTATATTTTTTTCGCAATTGACCAAAATTACATTGTTTGAAATCATTATCAAGGGGGAATTGTAATTAGTGACGGCCACATAGGTAAAACTTCTTTGAAAAAGAGCGGATCTATGTTGAGGCATGGTCAGTTGATTATGATGTCTTATATTACAATTATGCATGACATTACGAGGAATAAGTTTTTCACTCAGATATATAGGGGTGGATGTGCTAAGAACTTTAAACAGAAACATGACGAAATGCAGCCTGACAGTGTTTGAAATCTTAAGCCACTTTAATTCATTAATACGAGCAGAGATATGATCGTACTTCCTCAGACCAAAAATGAAGCGACAGCAAACGTTTTGTACATACTGCAATCTGTTTTTAGAAACTAGATCCAAACATGGATAAAAAATAATATTAGCATAGTTGAAAACAGACAGTACCAGGGATTCACACAGTTTTTTTCGCATCTTAAAGTTTAAAATGTATCTATTGGGATATAATATTTTTACTCTAGTGTAAGTTGTTTGCAAAAGTTTCTTTATATGTTCTTTAAACCTAAGATGCGTGTCAATATATAGTCCCAAGTTCCTAGCGGAAGCTGAGTAGCGTAGATTTTCATTAGCTAATTTTAGTGTTATGCTTTGCTGTAAAGTTGCTCTTTTCATCTCTAAACAAAACAAAAGAACTTCAGTTTTATTGGCATTTATTTTCAAATTGTGTTCAGTAGAATATTTTATAATTAACTTTAATTCGAAAATTAAGTTTTTTATAAAGTTTTAGTATTTGGCATATTATACAGGGTTAATCGAGGAGTGGTTTTTTATCTTAACTTTAAAACACCCTGTGCAATAATTTCGTGTATAAATTTACCTAAAATATAATTTTACGGTCAGAACCAAGACTCCTGTCCATTTTGTTTTTTTTATTCATGTTTCATGCTTTGGTTAATTTTTAAGAGCGAAATGAACTGATCACGATCAATTTGCAATTTTTTCAATTATCATTACTTTTTGATGTAATTTTTTAATGACGAGATGGTTTTGGTGACTATTGTGGTAACGTCATATTACGCCTGCATTGGATACTCTATACTAAATTAAAAAAAAAACCACTAACGATACACTCCTGGTTTTAATAAACACTCATAACGATAACACAACTAACGATATGAAAGAAAACATCTCTGTAATACTCAAGTTACAAACAGAAAAAAAATCGTAAAAAATAGGTACCCTAATACTTGGTATTGCCTCCCTTGGTTGCTATAACTACCTGTATAAGTCCGTCCATACTGTCATTGAGGCTGCAAATATATTGCGTTATGCTTTCCCATTCTTCTTTAAGAACCAAGCGAAGTTCATTTAATGAAGCTGGTAGCTCTTCGCAACCTGTAAACCTCCTGCCAAGCATTTTCCAAACGTCAAACATGATGGGCATAGTAGTATATAGTTCACAATAATCACCAAAAGCCGCCTTGTCATAATGAAAAATAACTTTCAAAAGAAATCATAATTGAAAAAATTGAAAATTGTTGGTGGCAGGTTCATTTCGCTCTTAAACATTAGCCAAGGCATGTATTGACATGATCCAAAAAAGAAGATACTCAGGAGACATGGTTCTGGCTGCAAAATTATATTTTAGGAAAATTTAGACACGAAATTATTTCACGGGTTGTTTTAAATTTAAAAAACAACCCCTCGATTAACCCTGTAAAATATGCCAAATCCTAAAGTTTATAAAAAAACTGAGCTTATGATTTAAAGTTGATATAATTGTGTACAGCTTGCTAAAAATTCATCAAAATAGGGCTAAAAATAACAAATATATAACACTTTAAATTTGACTGTACATTTTTTACAAGCTTTGTTATGTCCATCTATGAACACATTGCATAAGTTTTAAATTTCCACATAATTTTGACTTTATATCGATATTTATGAAATTTTAGATTTCTGTTTTTACGTCTTCTTTTCTCCGCAGAAATCGATGGCTACAGCATCATTCTTCTTCGAGCCCCTAGCCCCATCTGTCCGCGACTGCCCGAGGCTCCAAAACCCTTCACCTCTCCCTTCTGTCCTGCCTTTCCCATCATTGTCTACCCTATCTCGTTCAACCCTCTCTGATCAATAATTCTCTTTGATAAAGAGCCACCCCTCGCTCCGGGCTCGTATAATGACATGCATTTTTTATTGAATTGCAAAGTGGGTCGTTCGTGTTGTTCAACTAAAGCATTTTTGACGAATTCCCGCTTTAATTTTAGAGGCTCTAATAGGCACAGCCTTTTTGTTAAAGTGAGAACGGCGGCTATGAGCTAATAATAAGAGATTTTTATGGAGATAAAGGATATTTTATAATAACTTTTGTTTATTTAAAATCTATTCAAATCAATTTTTTTTTAATATATTTTATATAAATACCGTTTATATCTTTGGGGCTAGTTCATTTTTTTTTATTGTCATTAGATTTCGAATCCATGGACACAATCTTTTCAGTGGTAATTCGTATATTTGTATACAAATTTGCATAATTATCGTTTTAGGAGTAGTTTAAACGGATATACATAATATTTTTACTTGTATGTTATCTAATATTGTCCCTTCGTTCTTTAAATAATATAAAGCTGTGTAGTTCTGAATTTGTTATAACATAATTATAATAATATTCACAGATTTATGCTTTGATTTATTTATAAAAAATTGGTGATATTATTTACATTTATTTTATAATTATTATCATTATTGGATTATGAAACAACAGTCCTCTGCAGAATTAATTAACTTATTATAGAAACAGGCAGTGTTATCGAATATCAATTATTTCAAAGTTATACTAAATTTGTTTGATATGAGAATAGTCTTGTGTTTGAACAACTATTGATATATTAAATATCTCATTAATTTATGTAAAGTTTGGTATTAGTATAACAATGCATAGATATGTATATGTTTATATTTTGTTCAACAGTGAATTCTTTAAAGGAACTTTACTTTTTAATAATTTTTTATGTTCATTATTGAATTTAAAAATTATTTAGAATATTAGGCTTTAAGAAAATGAATATGATGATAATACCTTATAATTTATCAATCTATTAGGGACATATTCTGTGTCATTCTATTTTTATTTAAAAGTGTTTTTTCTCTATGCGTCAGAATGAGGACAGATTTTTAAACAGATTCAGATATTTGCACAATCCTTTAATTTTAATCAAATCTTAGAATTATATATTATTAGTCTGTCGATGTTTTATTACCTCCACAACAAAGATCTTTGTTTACGTATAACTTACTGAATATTAATTATATTAATTGTAAGGGTATATAATGTAAGGGCATTATATAACTGCAAATAAATTAAAGATACCACTACTATTTTATCAAAACTAATTGATGTTAGAAGGAAAGTTGATGAAGAATAAAAAAATATAATGTAAGAAGCAAATTTTGAAATAAGGAATACAACATATATTTATGACAAGTTTTACACATATTTTATACTAATAGTACGTTAATATTTAAATCGTTAAGTTTATTTTAAATATTTATTAAAGTATGTCTTAAAATAGGTTATCAGACGAAGAACAATATATTACTACTTATAGATTTAATATAAATTTCAGGAAATCGGAATTTACTCTTTTTATTTTCTTTATGTATCATTTTTAATAATACTGCAGTGCAACATTTAAACTATTTTCCCTAAATAGATGACATAAAAGTGTAATATAATTTAATACAATTAAATGATTATATTATTATATTATAATTAATATTAATTATTGTTAAATTTTGTAATATAATAATTTATAATTTTTAAATAATTAAAATGATCATAAAGCTGTGTCATAAATCAAAGCAGTAGTCCCTGAGAGATATCCAGTCACATTTAAATTAATCTCTAAATAATTGGTATGAAGACATAATTTTAAAAGAAAATATGATGAATTGTCAAAAAATGAATATAAAACTATGTCATAAAAAAGTACACATTTAGTTTAAATTTCCAATAAATGATACAAACATTTAATTATAATATATAATAAATAATTGAAATTAATACGAAAGTATGTCATTAAATATAAAAGAGTAGTCTGTGACAGAGCACTGTAAAGCGCCGAAAGCGGCCGAATTCCCGGAGCCTGGATCCCGACTCGAAACGGCAACACAATTAAACGATCGAGATTTAACGAGGGGAGAACTTGTTGCAATTTTCCTGGATGCGCTGTACCCAGCAGTAAGCGGTAAATCGCAGAATCAATCCGTCAAATAGCGACATAACAAACGGCGGGGCATTTCGCCCTCTCTATCTAACTAGTAACGGCCCACTATCGGGACTGTCCTGCCGCTGCTGACGACGACTAGGGCCACGACGACGGCGGCAGTGGCACCTTAAAACGCTCTTAGTCGCTCATTTCCGAGAAAAATCATCACCCCGGTGCGGCGGAACGACGGTGAAAAACGAGCCCCAAAGCCGTGTGTCTTTGCTGTCCGGATCGACCACGTGTTCTCTGTCTGTTTTCATTCAAGCCGAACGACAAAGGACGGGCTCAGCCATTCGTATTGATTTTTCGGGACAAACGGCCGCATAAAAAACTTGTTGATCGGGTCCGGTGGCGCGCGAGCGATTTTTCCCTCCAACATGACCGACTCTCCGGACGAGCCTCTCAATTTAACGGTGAAGAAGATGCCCATCGCTATCGTGGCCCCCTTTTCACGAACGGAGCCCCCCAGCGAAAAAGCTCAGGACGAATCGGCAGACGAAAGACTGGATTTCAAGTGGGAACAGGACATTAACGAACTTCCTCAAGACCTATCGCTAAAAAGCAAGTCGCCCGACATAACCAAAAACACTAACGCGCACAGGAACCTCAATCCCAGCGAACAACTACGGAACTACCTGCTAAAAAAGGAAGAGCCTCACAATTTATACAGTAGGAACGTTTACAGTCCGAGTAAAAAAGACAGCAACGAAGATCTACCTTCTACGGACCCGTATTCATTCATGAACTCCTTAGACAATAAATTTCTCACTGCCTGGTACATGAATTCTTTGCTATCACATCAACAACAACAGGCCAGGCAATTCTTAAATTTTTCATCGCATTCGAATCCGTCAGAGTCGCTTGAAAGCAAGACCAGCACCGCGTCTTCAAATCGGATTTTAAATAATCTGCTCGAGAAAAAGCCGTATACGACTTACAAATTTCCCAGCGGATTCGACGCTTTGATTAAGAACGAAATGGAGGGTGAACAGACTGAAATTCCCGCCTCAGGGTAAGATTTGAACGTCCCGCCTAGTTGTATTACGGGTTGCATAAAACGAGTCGATTTCCATTATCTTTTCATAATTTTGAAAAGTATGAGACACAGTTTGTAATTTTTTATTTTACCAAATTTTACGTATATTTTGTATTTAAGTTTTCAATTTTGTTTTATTTTAACATTGTTTGATAACTATTTATTTTCTTTATATAACTAAATTATTTATACATAATTGCCTTTAGGAATATTTAAAATTTGTCATTAGTTCTTGTTTACTGAAATATTTCTTATTGTATCTATAACGCAATTTTTATTTCGAACATTGAATATCTAGATACATCAGCGCATGACATTTGGCGTATAAAATGTATTGATCTTACGCGCTAAAGAGAATTTTGTTGACTGTTAGACTGACAGACCTGTCCACAAACATTACGTGCTAAACTTAAGAAAATAACAGTATTATATTATTATTTATATTAATTTAAAATATGGTTACGTAATGGACGTTAAAATAAAAGTCGAGTGTGTAAACAATAAAAGAACCGTTGATAAAGTGCTTTAATGATATTTTTTTGTAGATCACAAGACCACAAGAACAACGTTGATGGCAAAAACAATCAGGATAATGAAAAGAAGAAGCCCCACATCAAGAAACCCCTGAACGCTTTTATGTTGTACATGAAGGAGATGCGCGCCAAAGTGGTTGCCGAATGTACACTGAAAGAAAGTGCTGCCATTAACCAGATTCTGGGGCGACGGGTAAGTTAATTTCGTATTTCTAGCGTGAATTTTTATCTGGAGTGAATGAGTTTTAATTATTTTTTTAATAGTTCTTTTTTTTTCTTGCAAGTTTGAAAGTGGCTAATGCTTTTAAGGTATATAATAATTTTTTTTTAATTCTCTTTTAAAAAAGTGGTTAGTTATTTATTTTGTACCACATGTGTACAGAACAGAAAGAATAATAGTTCTGATAATAAATTGTATAAATGAAGTTTTATGAAATTTAGTTTTACATATAGTAAAATTTGCCGAAGTAGTTTTTACGATTGTTTTTTAATATATGTACTTAAAAATACAAAGTCGTTTTTGTGTGTTAGCAAGGTATGTAACGCATATTGATATATATGCAACGTATATATGCCAATATGCGTTGTGACTAAGTATTTTTTTTTGTTTTAAAGAACGTATTTTAGAATAACCATTTTTTACTTAGAAGCGCTTATAACTGATTTTGTTTTATCTGGATTGAGTAAACTTTATATTTACCAATAATTACATTAACTTAAATATTTATTTAGAATATGAGAAATTAAATAATTGTAGAAGTCATCCAGAAAGTAGAAATATATATAATAATATTTATATGATATTATTGATATTATAACATCAAACTTATAAGACGACGTATAGAACAAAGATCAAGTTAAATTGGATAATCTAGTCAATATAATATTAATTAATACAATATAAATAATATAAGTAAGTGATATAATCAACTATCTAGTATTCAAGCATCTATTGAATTTATCAACATGTTTTGTTTTCATTTCTACACATTTGAAGAACACTAGACCAAAGATTATTATCATTTCAAAACTAAGTTTGATAACGGTTCGACCATTTATCAATAGTTTGAATTATAATGATTGTTATTTTAGTATGTATATTATAAACTAAATCAAGAAATTGAAAAGTATTTGGGGTGATATATTTACAATATTTTTTTTTCATTTTTGGACCAGAAGTATCAATCTGAAGTGTATTGTTATTCTGATATATTTTGGTGAAATTACGTATTTAAAAAAGGTATATTCTATTAAACGCTTTCAAACTTGCATTTTGCAAATAAAACTAAATTAAATAGTAAAATTAAAGTCTCATGTGTGTATGAGGAGGGTGTGAAATAAAAAGCTAAACGTATGGTTGCATAGTGGCACTCGCTGAGCCGCGAGGAGCAGGCCAAGTATTACGAGAAGGCGCGGCTCGAGCGTCAACTGCACATGCAGCTGTACCCGGGCTGGAGCGCAAGGGACAATTACGGTTACGGCACCAAGAAGAAGAAGCGAAAGAAAGAGCGAGCACCGATCGAGTCGGGAGGTAGTTATTTTAACGAAGCGCGCACCCTAACTAGTAGAGTGCCCGAAAACCGATTTAGATCTGTGTGCGCAGGGCGACTGCGCATACCGCGACCTCACGCAGGCGAGGCCAGCCCCGCTCCGCGTGACGTCGCCCTCACGTGCCATTGCGCCGCATTACGGCAGCCAAGGCCCTGCGCACACGGATTCTAGGGACTAACACTTGATTGCATTCGATCTAACCCCATCTAACCATCCGACCGACGTGCATACCTGCGTGTTGGCGGCAGAATGGGTCGGCGGCGGGCCGGCGGTGGCTGGTGGCGATCTTGCGCGCGGCTTCTTGGTGCCTGCCGATGCGACACGTTGCTGACTCTGTTCTGTTTAGTGGCACGCGCTGGGCCGCGAGGAGCAGGCCAAGTACTATGAACTGGCACGCCGCGAGAGGCAGCTGCACATGCAGCTTTATCCCGACTGGTCGTCCCGCGCCAACGCCACTCGCGGCAAGAAGAGGAAGCGTAAGCAAGACCCGCAAGACGGAGGTAGCCACCCTCGCAATCTACTATCCCCCGCCGTCTTAAGTCATACTCCAAGCGTCGATACTGCAACACACCTCTTGATTAATTATCACGGTTAATAATTAACGAATAATTTAGATTATACTCCTTTTTTTAATGATGAAATGCTTTCTTAGACTTCGAATGATTTTTCTTCCTTAAATGTTTCGATAAAAGAGTTGAATAAGCTTTTCGACTATTAACAGTATAGAAAATGTTATCATTAAACCACAATACAACAAAGCACGTTTCTCTGATGCTCATTTGTCATTAGCATCTATAGATGATTACAACTTTTTTTAGAGCAATTTTAATTGAGTTTATATTTAAGTCATCAAATCCATCCAAACTTTTTCAACTGTTTTCAGGGTAATATGAAGTATTTTGGTGTATTGTGTTTAAATTATGTTATATTCTATAAAACTAATATTCTTATCTAAATTATGTTTTTGAGATACTATTTCTTGTCGTTATGAACTGTTTTTACTCATTTTTTACTAGATAACGACTAGAATATATTACAAGTCGAAACGTTATATTTAACTGTTTCCTATAAATATAACACGGCAGTGGCAATCATAGCCAACATTTAATTAAACTTTCTTGATCGAAAGTTATAAATCGTAATGATATTGTTGAATTTATGTTTATAAGCTTACACTTGATATAATATTCTCTTATTACAAACTGACAAATATATTACAATATTCTTCTGTTGGGGTTAGCTGCCTTAATTGACTGTTTATTTGTTGTCAAATTGTATATTTAGTGTCACTTGATTTTATATCAAATAACAGTTTGTTGAAAAGTGTCAGATTCGATTAATGAACTATTCCAATACCACGACTATTGGAAATCTATTAGAAAATTGACCAATTTAACTGAACAAGCATATCTACAACTTATGGACTTCATTTATGATATTTGAAAGTTTTTGTAAGATGAAGTGTTCTGCTTTATGACTGTGTTTTAAATAGGATTTATAATTTGATGGCATTTTTTTACTGAGTAAACGGAAATGATTATGTTCGTTTTTGTATTGGTTTATCGATGTCTTGTATTGACACTTGGAGTACGATTAAGCCTATCGGGGAGGTTTAGTATCTTGTGAGCCCATCCTTTATTCTATTATTATATCTATATATTGCATGTTTGGGGTATTCGGTTGCCGGCCAGGACCTATTCTGCAAGGGTCGTTATGCAGACCTCTCGATGGACAACTGTATGCACGTATGTCGGAAGCCTGCATGCACAGAACTCCAGTTATTTATGCGGGCAGAGCTGTTTCTTTTTCATTTACTAATCAATTCATTAACAAATCCAAATTTTAATTTTTCTTTCAAAACAGTCCGATCGATCGCATTTGGTTGGCGTTCTATCGGATCTTTATCCATCTATCACAAAATATTATTATTATATCTGATTTTTCACCATTTCTAAATTTAGACGAAATTGTTTATATTCATTAAATGGCTCTGTAGTTCCAGCATGATTTTTTTCCCTTAGGTATCTCGTACCCTAGTTATTTTATTTAAAAATTAGTACTTATTTTAGTTAATAGACAGTTAATATTACATTAGTTTATGTTTAGATTATAGCCCAGGAGCAAGCTACCATTTATAGATTTTTTTTAAGTTCCAACAGCCTCCCATAAACGTGATATGATTATAAAAAATAAACTAATATAACAAGAGCTGAGCTTATCTAAATTGTAATCTTGAATTTGAGAACTCCTTTGAAACAATACAATGAATCCAAGGAATAAATGACATTGCTGTCTGTTTAATAATAATAAGTTTATAAGAGGCATAATCCGCCACTGTAGAGCTAGCTAGTTGTGTTTTTTTCATCATATTTAAAGACAAAAAAACTCTTGCGATGGACATCAAAATAAGGTTGCTGGCTCCTAGACTATTCTAGAATTTTAGAACTTTTAATTTATGAACCCTTACTATTATCGATTTTAAAAGTTTTAAAGTATTTTATTTTTCATTTTTTTTTTCATCAGGACAGGCATAAGTGGCTTTAGAGTAGTTAGAATTAGAATCCCGTAGTTTTAAAAATATAATTCGATATTAGAGCATGCACCCAGTTATTATTATATTTTATTTGAGTACTAATGTTTTTTTAATCCTGCAATAGGTAACAGTATGAAGAAATGTCGAGCAAGATACGGTTTAGATCAACAAAGCCAGTGGTGCAAACCTTGCAGGTTAGTACATTCATTTTTAAGTATGTTGTAGTGATAGAAAATATACCCTATGATTTATTTGATATTATTTTATATATCTTTATGGATATTTTAGAATATTTTTATTTCGTTACTTAGGCATGACTTTGAACAAATATTTTTTTATATGATTTAGTTTTGTAGCAGTTATGTGAATATTTTTCAGTTTTTTCAATTATTTGTATGGTTTTGCAATATCAACACGATTCTGTATTTCATCAAACTTGACGAATATACTTTAGAATGTTGTAAAGTTTGAATATTAGAAAATATTTCTATAATCAGTATCAATTTTGTAAGAATTGTAGAAAAGAAGGTTTTAAAATTGAGGAAGTTCTTACTGCGATTTTTGTCACATAGTGGTAGTGCTAAGTTAAATTAAATACCTATTTTAAAAGAAATTTGGAAATATTTTTTCGTATTCATCATTTTTTAAAAACCTGTGCAAATCCATACAAATGTTGGTGTTTCTTATCTATGTGGAAAGACTTGTTATTTTATATGATTATGTATAGTTTTGTTTAAGGAAGGCACTACTAAGGTATTAATATTTATTAATTATATTTACATGATAGTTTAAAGTAAATCAGAAAATGTGTCTTCCCACACAGAAAAAGTACCCAAGCAAAACTTAGATATTGTGCACCATACACTGCTGTTCAGTAGCCAAAACAATTGTTAAGTCAGTGCAAGGGGCCTTAAAGGAAATTATGAATTGTCGATTTTCGAGACACATTTTCTGATGCAACTCTGCACTATATCTACGTATATTTTAAATTTTCTTCCTTTGTTATAATTTAGTTTACTTTATTTTTGGAACTTTTATATTTATGTGTCTGTTGTTATTTATTATACCTTAGTGTCGCTTAAAGTTTCGATAGTTATTTTTTCAAGTGATTATTATTGTGCATTTATTTTGAGTGTATGTATGCCTATGTCCGAGCCCCCTTGTACATTTAACGATTGTTTAGTCCCGACAACAGTTCTCACGGAGGCGCCGCCTCTGCCATCCACGGAGGCCTGCTGCACGCCACTGGAACATCGACGGCCGACTCGCTCCAGGAACCCACTTACGTCAATCTATAGCAAAACGTTGGTTAGTCAACAGCAGTGTTGGTGTTCGATGTTTTTAGAAAATTAGACGTGTTTATTTTTTTTTGTTTTTGATTTATGACATGACATTTTACTTTTATTAACCCATTTTTTTCTAAATTTGTCTAATTATGGTATGGATTCCCAGTGCATAATAGATATAATTAATGGTTAGTGAATAATTGATGCACTGACAGTCTTTACCAACGCATTACATTTATTATTTTATGTTGTTTATTTTCATTTGCTATCTACAGCATTAGATCCCTATTGGTATATAGTATAAGTTTATTTGTAGGTTATATTTATTTTTTTATTATATAGTGTTGACAGATCTAGAAATACTACTGTCGAGCTTTTCCATGTCAAAATTAAAAATTTATATTTTCATTTTTGAATTAACAAGAAGTAACTAGACTAGTAACTAGAAAGAATTTATAATCTATACTCTTTTCTAAATTTCGTTTAACTAGTTTACCTTTCTTATTCTTATATTAAGAGAATATTGTCTTTTGAGATTATTCATTATGTAGTGTCTTTAAGGCAAAACTCACTGAAGGTAATTTACATTGAGTTGCTTAAATTAAGCTTCTGCTCTTTCTTGTGACGTCATCACAAATGGATCTAAATGTATAGTGTCTTTATTGGGTTTAGATATTTAAAAGAGTATCTATTAAAAATAAGTTTAAAGTGATTCTGAGTATATTTTTATGGACATTATTTAATTCATTGTTGTCATATATGCAGATTGATAATTCGTAAAAAAAATTGAAAAAATAAAATATACCTAGTTGATATACAAAAACTTTTAAAATAAATTCATTTTTGATTTTTTAATTATCTACAAATTGTTAATTACAGTTTTGCAGTGTACGAGTATTAGAGTGATTCTCAAATCTTAAATGCTTTTAAACAGTGTAAATATGTTTATTTTTTCTTTTCTATCAAACATCTGTTAGAGTGAAAGTAAATCATTCAAAAAAAGGGCAATTAAAATAAGCAAGATGTTGCTATGTCTTAAAATGTTATTTAGGAAAATATTTTTTATTTACCTGTAAATTATTTGTAGTGAAGTTTGTTGTAAATTCGCCCTTTTGTTAAAATTATCGGCTTTTTATTTTAAGTTTATAATTTTTATATTTAGACACTAGCATGGAATTTTCAGGAATACTTAAAAAAACGAGAACATTGCATGAACATTATATTCTAACCACCAGCATGGTTTGTTTTGAAGGACGTTATATTCAATTTGTATTTTCTAATGTTTAACATATGTTTTCAATTTTACAGACGCAAAAAGAAGTGCATACGATATATGGAATCAGGGGACCCCAACGACGGTAACCAATCCGACGACAATCTAGGAAGTTGCGGTAGCATGGGCGACGCGCACACGCCGCCCGACGACGACGCCGAGAGCTTCAGCCAGTCCATGTCGAGTCCCGGAGGCCTCTCAGCCCTGAGCAGCCTCACCAGCCCAGGCGGCATGGTGCTGCCCAGCCCCTCGACCAGCGCCGCTAGCCCCTCGGTGAGCGTGGCCAGCCCCTACATGCAGAGCCCGCTCACTCCTCACGACGGCTTCGACGTCAAGCTGCCGCCCCCCCAGCTGCACCACCCGTCGCCGCGGAACCCCGTGGGCACGAACCCGCGCGACGCGAACAATCCTCTCAGCGTGAACCAGTTGACGGGGCAGTGCGTGCGCAACGAGTCGGCCGAGGGGGGCAAAGAGACGGCCCGCTCCATCATCAGCGTCACGTAGCCCTCGGCCGTGGGGGGCCGAGCCTCGCGCGCGCCTCGCTACCGCGCATGTCGATCTCACTGGACAGCGGTGCTCGAACGCACCACCACCGGGCGATTTTTTTTACTATGTAACATAAATGTCATTTGCCAAAACCACCTCTACTACATAATATATATTATATTATACATATTTAAATAACTATTCTTTTGTATTCTTCCGTAGTTAGTTTTCTTTCGTTTTTGGATATTGTAACTCATGATTGTGGTTGATATTTGATGCTTACTTTCAAAATGATCATTTTATCATTTTTGCTGAAGTTTTTGGAAACCTTTTTTTGTTGTTTTTTAATGCATTTGTAGTCAAAGTATTCGACTGTCAATTTTACTGATTGGGGCATATATTGTAATAGATATAACAAATCATATTTCTTAACACTTAGGACTTAATATATTTTGTGACGATATATTAGTTCAAGTAGATGCTTTTTATAATCTCTTTTCTAAATGATTATATCTTACTTAAAACTTTCTAGAATCAGGCTTGCTTTATATTATTATTGAAGGGGTGGGGGGGGGGAGAATTAAGAGGGCGCTGCTGTAGCAAAATTTCTACATTTAAAAGAAGCGTCAAAAATTTTTGTAATGGGAAATAATTAGATATAGATAAATATGCGATTTCTGAAGACGTGTGTTGCCACTCCTTTTTGACTAACTTCACTTTATTTATAACCGATAAACTCAGTTCGATACTTTATTGCTTATTAACGCCACTGTGGTTATTTAATGAACCTTTATTTTCCACCTTTAGGTGACTACCATTGACGTAACTACAGTGGTGCCTGGGGATGCCGGGCCCCCCAGGTATTGCTGAACGCCCCCCAGAGAAATCCTGAATTATGACTCTTGGCTACATATTAATTTTTATTTGCTCGTGATGTAGTAAAAATGACGTGTTTCTAGTTTTGTTTAGTTAATATTATTTTGCTCTGTTCAAAAAAGTGTTAATTTTTATTTTTTTTAGAAAATTTGTAGGTATTTAAGTAATCTACGGGAACACGGTTTGATAACCTAGTCTATGAAATTTATTGATAGAGAAATTTAAGTAAACGATTTATTCAAAAAATGTGTCTTTAAAAAGTATTTTTAATTTTTAAAAAAATAAAACCTTAGGGCCCCCTGGGCTCAACACCAGGCCCCCCGGGCTCAACACCAGGCCCACCCCAGGATAAATTGCTAGTTACGCTAATGGTGACTACTTTTTGAAAAGATGACCTAAGTCCCATATAAAAGAAGATTCTCCTTACCTCTACCCTCTGTATATTATATTATGATAGAAACAAATTTCAATGGAATGGAGAATTATATTACAATAATTGTAAATGTAATTTTATTACACTTATATATTTTTACATGTAATTGTCAAAGTCAAAGACCACTTTTTATCATAAAACCTTTTGATGGCATGTATAAATTGCATACAAATTTAACTACAAAATTTTTGTATATTGCATTCAGGAGTTGATAGTATTTGGTAAAATTTGAATTTGCCTCATTTAATTTTACCAGTTGTTTTTGAAATTAGTACTTTTGAAAAACTATTAATATAGTAATTTTCTCCAAGCAGATCTACAGTATCTACCACCTAAATTGAAAATAATATTAAGTGCTATGAAGAAAACAAAATATTGTGTCTTTAAAAAATGTTATTTCTTCAATCGCCACCAAAAATGACTGGGATAATTTCTGTTCGTAACATTTGTATACCATTATAGTTACTCTGTCTTAGCACTACTTGATATTCCCTTATAAAAGACATTATGTTTTAACAAAGCCATAAATACTATAAGCCTTATAAGTATCAGCTAATTCTGTATTGATCATTGAACATGGTTTACAATATCCAAAAACAACTTTCACAATAAATAAGTTTCAGAAAATAAATGTTCCTTGTGCCACAATATTTTATTAACACAATAATTGTATTCGAATTGTTTTTAATTTACCTTATAAATTTATATTGAGCAATCTTTTTTAATTTATAGTGCAACAATGAATATTTGAGTTCGTTTCCTCTACCAATATTAAGGAAAACATCTATTAGTTAGTTGTAAATTGTTGAAAGAAAATCTGTAAGTAACGTGTAAATATTGAAATGTTATATAAGAATATTATAATTTTTTGTAAAATGTATTTTTTGACTCTTTGAAATTTTATTTGTTATTTTTGTATCGGCCGAGATAGCTGCATTATTTTTTTCTTAAGAATCGAAGAATAGCTTATTCTTTTGGGAACAAATTGCAATAAACAAAAGTTGTAGGAGTTTTCTTTTTTAATTTTAGGACATGCATACATCACCACGATTATAAATAAATAGCGAAGAAAGTGGATTATCCAAATAAGATTGGTTTTATTTCTTAATATTTATTTTGAGAACAAAAATCATCTATATATGAAACTTACTCTTCCTAATACTTGTCGCTCATTTAGTTTACTAATTTTCTTGCAAAACATTAATAACGTTTTTTCCTATATATAAAGAAACATGTGATATTTTATACTATTTACTGATACATAAAGTTTATGTTTGGCTTCCTCAGGAATTTGCATTTATTAGAGGAAAGGTATATTGCAGTCTAAGCTTAATATCGTGACATTATAAATCCAATATTGCGATTAGACTGTATTTTTCATTTTAACATTATTTTACAGTTATTTAATTTAAAATAAATTATCATATCTGTATTGATATATCAAATTGAATTATTTTTTTACACGGTATATTTAATTTATATGTCAAATAATAAAAAAGTATTATCAAATGCTTTATCATACTATTTAGACACATTTGTTTTATTTGTTTCTTTTTCAATTTCTCTGTGTATAATTTGTATACACAAAAATGTATAATTTTTTAATTTATTTTGATATAACTGTAAGATCATGTTAACATATTTTCATTATGAAACCCTTATTATGTTACAAAATCATTATTGTCCAAGCTGCAGTTTTTTAAATTGTTCAGAGCGTTTGCCCCAACAAAAGAGATTATTGTGCCATATTCCTTGAGGCGTAGCTCAATTAATTAACTGCAGCTTCTAATGACTGCTTAGTTTATAAATTCGTAATGTTTAAGATGTCCAATATTTGTTTTTTCACTTTTGATAAGTGCAATGTAAGCGTCTATTTTTTTTTCTTAGGGGACAAGCTGCAATTTAATAGACCAATCGTAAAATTTATCTATTTAAAAGGGCTCTATAGCTACTCTATATTTATTCAGTAAATGTTAAACTACAATTTTAATTACTGTATGATCGAAAAAACGGCTTGTAGTTGGCTTGGAAATGACGATCAACGGCGTTCACCATATAATTTTATATGTAAAATGATAACATTCTCCATTTTCAAACCAACCCTGACGCCGTTTTTTTATTGTATGGAATTTAATTGGAGATATTTCGTTGAATTATTTTTATTAGAAGCTGTCATTTAAACAAACTCAAATACAGAAAGTATTAAATTTTAAAAATGTGCCAAAAATATATAGGGTGTTGTAGAAAACTTTTTTCTTAATTGTTCAAATTTTGGTTTGGCAGCTTGGTCTAATAGTGTATGTACATTATGTTCTGAGGCATTTTAAATGACTCCAGTAATAAAACTCTCGATAGAGTAATTAAAATATACATATATAAATAAAATTAGAATTTAATCTTAGATGTTAATATTGTCTTTGTAAGTAGAATCTGTTCGTAACACCGTATAGGTTAGGATCATTCAATACAAAAAATCCGAAATGCATTTGTTTTCTTTTTTAACTCCTGCTCGCTCATACCCCAAAAATTGCTTGCTCAAAGCGTGTTTGGTCATAAAACTCTTGTCATATATTTGAATGCTTAGTTTGATATGGAAAGTTTTAAATAAAAATAGTAATTATATGTCCCGCTAGCAAAACCGCTGATTAAAACTATGCTCGCTACCGTAGTTGAACTCATCTAAAAAGTTTTTTTAGCTGGAATAATAAATTATAATACAAGTTAGACTTTCTGAAGATATCAAAATATTTACTTATTTTTTATTTCTATTTTTAGACTTTTCACAAATTATACTTTCTAACACTTTTAGAAAAAGTGTTAGAAAGCATAATTTGTAAAAACATTTTTCGTATACTCGCTATTTAAACCCGTGTATTTGTATATACCAGTTGTTTACGATATTCGCCGATGGTGGCAGCACCGGCGGAGAATGCACCAAGCCTCAGGGCCGCGCCGACCGGTAGCGCCTGTGCGCGAAACATAGAAATGCCTCTTTTTTGTCGTCATTTTTGATGACCGCCCTTTTCTGATGTTTCTTTCGGTCGTAGTTTGAATAAGCATAACATATACTAAGGGCTGGCAAAGGTTAGTCTTGGGTCGAGATTTCCGTATGTAAGAAGAGTACAATGCGTTTGTAATGTACTGAACAAAAAGAGAACAGTAAACACGTTGCCAAACGTATGAAATAAACCGAGAAACCATGCACATCGCTAAGATACGTGGAAGGGGACATAGCACATAGCATGATACAATAGCAGATTTATCGCAGTCGACCGGTTGACCCAATCAGTATCAGTACCTCTTTCAGTAGGTACTTAAAGTTCTAGGGGGAGGTGTAGATACATCATGCGTTCAGTTTCACGACTTAATTACGTCTCGTGATACTTTGTTTATTTATTAACGAGTCGTTGTAATTTTTCCTATAGCTTTTTTAAAAAATTTGTGCAAGTTAGAAACACTTAAAAAAGTGCAAGTTAGAAACACTTGTTGCGCTATTAGAACTCTGAATTCATAAATCGATATCTCGAAATCATTAGAAATAATTGATTGTAGTTTTTTCAAAAGCTTTCTTAACATTTGTGCGATATTTTCTTTGCAGACAGTATGTGAAAATATTCATAAATAAAAAAGTTACACGCTTGTTGAAAATTGCTATGCACTAAAAGTAAATGGATGGGTTGTTTAAAATTTTTGAATGGAAAAAATAACCTTATCGAATTTTTCTTATTTAAACATATTGTAAAAGATCCGATCTTCAAAATAAAAAAAAGTTTCAATGTTTAAAGCGGTTTTTAAGTGATGGCGGCGTGTTATGTGTTAAAACGTTGAGTTTTTAAATTATCGCGATTACTAACGTGTGTATATGTTATTCATTCACGTGTATTATATATATTCACATATATATTCATTCACAATGTATATGTTACGGTTAAGGTCCGATGTCCGGTTAATGTCGACATTACCCGGTTAATCTCGAGAATAACACACAACAAAACAACCAAAAACATAACCTAACCCATGTTAATGTCAACATTAACATGTTAATGTTGACATTAAGTGGACATCGGACTTTAACAGTAACATATATATGTCATAAGGGTGATGGTATGTCATAAGTGGTCTTTATATTTATGAATTTTACTTATAGCTATGCTATATTGTTTTGCCAGATTGAATTTTCTGGTTTTTAATAAAAAGCCATAGTTAAAACATTTTGTTTAATTTCTTAAATATACGTAACAAATAGCGATTTTGAATATCTTAACTGCTAAAATTTACATAAAATGTACAAAATAGAATATTTAAATTACTATATCTAAAACATCTAGCAACCTTGTAATGTAAAAATACTTTTCTTAGCTATTACAGCACCTTATTCTAATTAAGTATGTAATATTTAGAATTATGTTCGAAAATATAATATATAACTGGAGTATTCAAAATAGGTTCTCATTATGAAGGTAAGTTCAAATTTACTATAATATGTAATTAAAATTGTAAAAAACTTTTTTTATATTGGCAAAACTCAAAACAAAATAAGGGCATACCCATCATCAGAAAATTTTATAATCAAATGGTATATTGATTTTGACATTTAAAAAAATTTAATTAATTATTGCCATAATTGTTTATAGTATATAATAATACCGTATGATCGAGAAAAAACGGCGTCAGCGATGGCTATGAGATGAAGATCGCTGTCATTTTATATGTAAATTTATATGGGAAGTGTCATTGATCGTGATTTCCCAGCCAACTGGACGCCGTTTTTTTTCGATAATACGGTACATATTGCTTGCCTGATCATAAAAATATTTGATCATAGAGTATATCTATTAAGACGTTTTAATACAAAATACATACCTATGCATATTATAGAATACGTAGGTAACTTGAAACTTGAAATCAATTTAAAACATGTACCTATAAAAATGTTAAATGACAATAATTTGAAATGTATTTTAAAGAATTTGTTTGTTATAGATATAGTATACCTAATCTGTGGTTATACTGAGCAGTAATTTAGAGAGAATATTATTTTGAAAATGATTTACTTTGTCAAGCAGATTACAGAAACAAAAAGTCCATGTGAAGAAGAATTAGAAGGGAAAATAGATGGTCGCTGATATATATGGGAACTGTTGATTATTAGGTAAAAAATACGAGGTACCGCAAAAAGTTAAATATAACAACTGTTATATTTAACTTTTTGCGGTACTATAGGGTTTTTAAATGTCTATTGGCGAGTAATAAATTTAAGTATACATGGTCGGTCACATCAAATATCATTTTTTTAAAATGGAACCCCCCCTATATATTATTGCATATTTCCATTTTCCTTCAATTCCAAGCAAAAATCGAAATACACACGATGTACCTCAAACCAAAACCGTTTCCGAGGTATTGACTTTTAAAAATATCACTTACTGAAACTCTTCGATTTAATTAATTTCAATGTGTTGGTTTGGGTCGGTTAGATGAGGTTTCATTTAGCGATACCATTCTGCGGAAACTGTGATACGTACTTAATATTTGACATTAATTCTCAAGTTAGATGTATAAAATGAGATTATATAAAGTCTGGAAATTACAAAATTTTCGTTTAACATTTCAAAATCAAAACTTCAAAATTCGGAAATGGTTGAATTTAGGTATCTACAATATGTGTATTATGAATATTGCTTAAAATTAAAGGAAGAATTGAAATACGCAATAATATATTGGGGGTTGTATTTCTTTCTTGCGGCTGTATACTTAAATTTACTACTAGCTTTTTTTAACTATATACATTTAAAAACCCTATAACTTTTGTATTTAACTTTTTTATTACCTTGGTACCCTGGTACCTTTTTATTACCTTGGTACCTTGTATATTTTACCAAATTATCGACCGTTCCCATACATATCAGCGACCCTGTATATACTTGCTCTATAAATGATTATGAGAAATGGATATAATAGGTATATAAATATTTAACCAGGTAAATAGAAGTTTTAGTCTAAGGTAAATACTTATGAATTTTCAGAACGAAGTCTATAATTTTTTTACCAAACTTTATTAACAATGATGAACTTAAAATTAAAACACTTTTCAATATAAAATCGGTCCAACCAATGACTAAAGAATATAAGGACATGTAACGCCCCTATACGGGCTGCAGCAGAATTTGTGACCTTTTTTTTTGTTTTGGTGGCAAACAATGAGTCATCATTTGGTCGCCAGCGACAATTTTAGCGATTTTTAATAGTTTGTTTGTAGTAAACTTTGTATAAACTTTATTACAATGGTGATTAGTTGTTCAGCTTTCAAGTGTAAAAGCGGCAGCGATAAGAAAGAGCCAGGAGTTACGTTTCATAGGTAAATAAACAGTCCACTCCAACTTTTTAGCGTTTTCTTATTGAATTCGATAATTATTCTTCAATTTCAATTAACATCTATATGTACTTGATATGTGCTATACGTCGATACTAGTTTTGTACCTTTTGTTAACATTTTAATACGTTTTTTTCGTAATTAATTAGGATGATACACCATAGGCGTAGTCAAAACAATTATCAGAGAATATAAATATTGCTTCAAACAGCTAGGTTAAGAAAAATATGTGCCACGGCACTGTTTGGTGACATCGTCACAATTTGCTCTCAGGTGTTATTTGCCCTTGGATTCTTTAGTCATTGGGTCAAAAGGACACCTATGTTGATAGTGACAGTGACATATATGATAATGACAATTGTCTGTAATTTTACTTCACAGGTAAAGTCTATTTTTTGTCGTCTGCCGAAATCTTCCCTGACTTGTTGGACCTACTTTATCACACAATGTAACCAAACTATTAATTGTTGTTCTTTTCTAACGATATTCAAAAAGAGTCCAATCATTCTATAATTTTAAAAACAATACAAAATAACGGCACTGCAAATAACTTACTATAAAATAGAAATATTCACCTTATTTCGATCTATATATTTAAATAAATTATTAACGATCAGGACACAAATATTTAAAGCTAAAGTTTAATATTGTAACTTTACAAAAGCTGTACACTATAAGCTATCATCACAAAAGTTGCAAGGAGCATAACCGACCAGTCTGTTCTATTGATGAAAATTATCAATTTGATCACCGTTCAAAAATACAGTTTATTTCCGTTAACGCTTAATGCTGCTCTCTGATTGGGCCTAAATTTCTGATATGTATATCCGCAAGTTTACCCTGGCCTGATACATCACGTATATACAGTTGATGGTTTTATTTTAATACAACAAATCCGTAGGTTTTCTTTACCAAAACGCCTGGTAAATATTAGTCATCTTTCAGAATGTCTAAAGGATTGTTCTTGCCTGTTCTTGGTGACGAGTGATAAAATGTCCCTAGAAAATAACAGAACAGCAGTTTTATTTAAAACTTTAATGTGATAATAATTCTTACCTTGTGATTCTTGAACATTAAGGCAGTCCAACCATTCGGTCTTGCTAATTTTTCTATCTTTATCTATATCACAGTACCTTGGCAGTTTCTTGCCGCATTTTCTTAGGCCTTTTATTGGGATGATATAGTCTTTGAACGCCTTCCACTCCGGCCTATCCAAATTCTTATTTTTATCTTTGTCGAAGTAATTAAAACTCCAATATGCAACTTGTTCCTCCCTGGATTGTGTTATGGCTGAAATAAAGTTAATTTACAGTGTTAAACGAAGACCAGAATTCTAAGGAATTGTTTATTAAAAATTACCGGGTGATTCTGCAGAATTGTTAGCTTTCATCTTTGTATATAGGAACTGAATGAGATCCTTCAAAAATACAATCTTCTTATCATCTGGACATCCTTTCATAGGAGGCTGTGTAGCTTTCAACAGGTTGCAATTGGGTATTTGGTTCTTGACTGATGTTCCAGGAATATTTTTGCCCGTGTCTTCGTGAACGCACCAACAGTATCCAGCAGACTTGTAGCATTGAATCTGAAGCAAGATAAATGCTTTACTATAAAAATACTCACCAACGTTACATTGAGTTTTAAAATTCTTTTTTTATTTATAGAATAATAAAATAAATGAAGGATATTATGTTTTTGTTTCATCTAGAAAAAACTAATTTAAAGATTTACTGATTTTTTTGAATTTGAATTTACTGTTTTTTTGGATGAACAGTTTTTCAATTTTAGATGAATATTGTTATTTTTATATTATGGATGGTTATTATTAGATTGATCTGGATGGTTTTTTTAGACTATCTTAGTTAGTCTAAAAGTTAGTCTAAAAAAGACAGAATACTTAGCTGTCAATTCCAACGCTTGTTTTGAAGTCTTCATAGATGATAACGTCCAGATTCAACAAGTAGACAAATTTAAATACCTGGGTGCTACTATCAACAACGAGGGTTTGGGCAAAGAAGAAATACAAACCCGAATTCAGAAGAGCAAACAAGTTGGTTGTCTTAATAGCCTTCTGGTGGGACCGAAACTGTCTGCAACAACTAAAAAGAGACTTGACGAACATTGGTGGAGTCAATTTTTGCTATGGTTCAGAGCTATGGGCTTTGAGTGCAGATACGAAGCGCAAAATCCAACTGTTGAAATGGACTATCTTAGAAGGAGCGCAGGCTGATCTAGATGGAAAAAGACAAACATCGAGGTCAGGCGTATCATGAATGCATCTGAGGAGACAGTGCTAGATCGAATTGAAAAATCCAGCTTAAAGTGGTTTGGACATGTTCTACGTTGTCTCAGGTGGCCAAGAAAAGTTTTTGAATGGACTCCCCAGGGTAGAAGAAAGAGAGGCAGACCTAGAAAATCCTGGAACGGAACGGTTAACGGAAAATCCTGGAACGGAACGCACTAAATCGAGACGTGTGGCGTAGGGTAACGGGAAGGCAGCAATAGGCTGCAGTTGGAAAAAAGTATCATATACTTATACCAAATCCCGTTTATATAAATATATATATATATATATATATATATATATATATATATATATATATATATATAGCAGAGAGCATATATATATATATTAGTTATATATATATATATATATATATATATACATATATATACATATGTATATATATGTATATACATATATATACATATGTGTATATATGTATACATATGTATATATATGTATATATATACATATATATACATATGAGCATATATGTATATATATATACATATATATATATATATATATATATATATATAGCAAGCGTACATATATATATATAGTTATTATATATATATATATATATATATATATATATATATATATAATAGAGATATTATTATATATACATATGTATATATATGTATATATATATATACATATATAGTATGTATTATATATATATATATAGCAGTATATATATATATATATATATATATATATATATATATATATATATATATATATATATATATACATATATATACATATGTATATATATGTATATATATATATACATATATATATGTACATATATATATATATATATATATATATATATATATATATATATATATATATATATATATATATATATATATATATATATATATATATATATATATATATTTATATATATATGTATCTGGATGGTTAATATTAGATGAGGACCAGACTTACTAAATGCATTTTATCCATTTTTTAAGATTATTAACCAAAAGAGGCATTGCAAACTACATACACAGAGGTACAATATTATGTCAGAAACGACGTTCTAAATTCATTTTATCCCATTCGAATTAAATTGCGAAAATACCTTAGACTTTATATGTGCTGTGATTGGCGGTAGACAAAGAGAAGTGTGTCATAATATACATACATACGGACATAAAGTATGTCCTTGTGGATATACTGCTGTTTGTCATAGCCTGAAGAGTTTTTTTTGTGCTACAACTTCTCTATTTTTTGACTAATACTCCTTAAAATAATGAATGGAACTACGACTAGGTTGGGGATACGTACCGTGGTAGCAGAAAAATAAAGAGAAATTTCACGTCTAACGGACAGCCAACAGTTTTTTTAATATTTTTTTCAGATATCATCAAAACTAGATTTTTCACATGTAGGTGTACTATGTTTATGATTTTCTATCAATTTTTTAATTATACTAGTTTTTCGGTAAGTTTCTTGCAAAAAGCTTAGCAGTTTTTCTTTGTTTTCCAAAATTCGAAAAAATGGAATGAAATGCAACAAACAAAAATGCATCTAAAAAGTTTGCTCCTCACATAGATTTTATTATATTTTCATAGGTATTCTTCTTTGTAACCAACCAACAATCATCTAAAACTATTCCAGTGACCTCTTCTACATACAAGACTTTTCTGTTAGAGAATATTATGCTTACTTTTTGAAATCTGCCGTCTGGTGTGCAATCTGGTATATAGGAAAATGTGGAGTCTTTGGCATCCTCCAACGCTAACCTTCTGTCTGACATGCAGTCTGTGACTTCTTCTTCTCTCGTCTCCAACGATTCTTCTTCTTCCGGACTTAATGATGGAAGTGCACTCGGCTCTGCCCTAAGTACTGGAAATTACAGAAATGAATACAGGCACCACTAAAGAAAAAATAATATTAGACAAATAGTATAGAAACAATCGTCAAAACTTGCATTTATGGCAATCTATTTTAAAGAATATGCTATGCATATTTCGGGGAGGCAAAATTACTTTTTACAAAATTACTTTTTTTTAAAAGGGTACGGTTAGTACCAATTCAGGCAATTATAGAAAGCGATCAATTTATTGGCACCCTTGAGGAAAAGGGAGATAATCTTGTAACCAGTGAATTTGGATTTCCGGATCTTCTCTATTGGCATCACTTAAACTATTTGCTATATGTAAATGGAAAACAACCAGACTTTGTCATTCTGTTTCTTTTCTTTAAAGATTTATAAACTCTTTAGGTTAAAACACTAAGAGGGTTTTCAATGTACAGGGTGGCTCGAATTCGACGCTCATCATTGGGATTTCGGAAACCGTAAGAGATACAGGATCGGTTAAATGGAGGCAAAGTTGCGCAATTTGATGCTCAATAAAATGCCGTATTGCATTTTTATTTTTTTTTTGCATAAAATATTCTGGTGATGGAATTTTCTGTACGAAACGTCGGCAAATATCAAAGTGACTATATATTTTTTATTTAAGTGACTATATATAGTGTTTTAAGAGTGATGACAGGATTTAATTAAATTGAAAAAAAAATCAGGTCCGTATTTATCGCTCAGTATCCAAACCAAACCACGAGATATAGTAAACTCAAGCCTATACAGATTAGTTTCTTTGCTATGAAGATGTCTCGATAAAGACTTCATATATCACACAGAGTTATAGAGCAGAAAAAGTGGCCATGAAAATATGTTTTTCATTTTAAGTTATCTTAACAAATAAAGCCAGGAAACAATAGAAAACAAAATTGAAAATTTCTTTTTTTTTTCGAATATATTCGGAAGCATTCGGAATTTTTCAAAATGCATCAAATTGCGCAAGTTTGCCTCCATTTAACCGATCCTGTATATCTCTTACGGTTTCCGAAATCCCAATGATGAGCGTCGAATTCGAGCCACCCTGTACACTGAGATGATAAATATACACTTGTATGTGACGGAAAAAATGAAGTAGAAACAACGGAATACCAATGGTGTGAGTTTGTAAACGCTGTTCAACGAGAGAAGATGCGCTTTCGACAGACGACATCCAAAATATGATATAAATACAATATTCTTTTCAATAAGAATGACGGACAACAACGCCAACAAGAATAATGGTGCAAGTTATTTTATAACATAATCCTGTTGTTCTATAGCGCAATTCTATAAGAAACTGCAGCACTTTGTAAAGGTAAATTTATCGCTCAGTATCCAAACCAAACCACGCGATATAGTAAACTCAAGCCTATACAGATTAGTTTCTTTGCTATGAAGATGTCTCGATAAAGACTTCATATATCAAGCATATTTAAAGAATACTCAAATATTTCCTTTACAGACATGTCCTGTATTTAATCTTTATAGCAACCATAAAGCACTGCCTGTATATGTTCTCATATAGAGAATAGATGATTGATATTTATAACGCACGTAAAGAATCCTATGTAGTATCGATAACGCATAAATACAGATTCTATACAGTTTTTCGATGACAATATTCACTGTTATGAAAACTTTACTTATCCCTTATTAACTCGATACAAATTTGTATAGTTAGACATAGTAAATATGCACTGATCCTTTACAAAACTTCATGTATTTTATACCGGGTGTTGCATCGTCGAGCGGGACATAGGAAATCCCATGTAAATTTTAATGGGGTCAATTATTGGCTTCCCTAATTATTTTATTGGCTTCCCTAATTATCTATTTAGGTTTATTGAAGAGCACTAAAACCCACATTCAAAAGAATAACTTTAGATATTTTTGATTAGCTCGTTTACGAGTTATCGCCGATTTCTTTTAAAATATTTTTCCTATGAGTTATCCGTATTTACTTATGAGCACCAGTCAAGGTAAAAGATAACTGTCAAATGAAGTTGTCATTTAATAGTACCTAAATTAATAAGTTATTGAATATTGTAATAATACTATAATTAATTAACCTTGTAATTGATTACTTTATTTTACTTTAATTCATATTAATTTGTATTTATAAATATATCTTTAAGATTTTTGTTAGAGTTTTCAATAATAAGAAGAGTTTTCAATAATAATAAAGCACTAAATAGGTAAATTTCTGAAATGACAACTTCATTTGACAGTTATCTTTTACCTTGACTGGTGCTCATAAGTAAATACAGGGCCATAAGAAAGGAAAAATATTTTTAAAAAAATCGGCGATAACTCGTAAACGAGCTAATCAAAAGTATCTAAAGTTATTCTTTTGAATGTGGGTTTTAGTGCTCTTCAATAAACCTAAATAGAATTATTCTCTAAAATAATTAGGGAAGCCAATAATTGACTCCATTAAAATTTACATTGGATTTCCTATGTCCCGTCCGACGATGCAACACCCGGTATATCTATAATGATATTCCGCTAGTGCATTATTTCTGGGGTTATAATCATTTTAATATGCCAGATACAAATGTGCTTCTCCCTGTTTCTTCAACATTCTACTATAACATAACGGAAGAAAAATCTAAAATTTGAAATCTGTGTATTTTCCACAAGTTGAGTTATTGAAGGGCAGGTCGTACCTAATATATCTAAACAATAGAAGAAATGGTCACATGGTCACATTGGTAACAAGTAACAAGATGATTTTCCCATGAACGCACCCTTGATAAAGTTACAAGACTTGATGAAAGTTTTAAAACTGATGAGAACAGTAGTGTACACGAATTTGTAACTAAAAATATAATAAAAAAGTAATCAAATTTTCAGTAATTTTACATAAATCGCCCCAATATAAATCTTATCTAACCTATAGGTTTGATATGCGTCCTTTACAAAATATTCTAAAATATATCTAGACATTTTTTCTTAGTGTTACCTGAATTAGAAAAGTTATGTTTAAGTAAATACTTAAACATATCGTTTGTAGTATTTATGCCTTTAGAATATTTATATTAATATTTGGAATAACAATACTACAAAGAATATGTTAAAGAATTTACTTAAACATAACATTTCTAATTCAGACAACTATAAGAAAAACTTTCTATAGGGTATAGATTTTAATACATATTTTGTAAAGGACGCCGTCAGTATGTATATCCGTACGATAAGGAATCGACAAATTAACTTTATTCAATCTAAATCCAGAATGTATAGTGGCGGTAAAGTATCAATACAGGTCAACTTTATTCAGTACAGGCTAGACTGTATTCAAACACGAATCGTCGCTGTACCAAAAGAGTAAAGGCTGTCTTTACCGAATAAAGATTTTATTATAGATTCGATAAAGGTTCTATACTGTTTGGTTATACGGGAGATGAGAGAGATAACTATTACAATCTTCAATAAAATCTTGATGTCATTGGATACATGGACCCGAGACAATTTATACCAATATACTGACGATCTGAGTTTTATACAAGTTTTACGATACATCTCCTCAGTTCTATCCATCTTTATTTTTGAGGTGTATAATAAAGAAAGAAATATTGTAAGTTGTTGTAAGATGGTAATAATTTGTAGTATATTGATTATTGAATTATTACTGAACATGTGAATGCCCTAATAATTTACACCGTTTTCAAAAAAATATGTATACCCACACTCTGTAATATTAGGTATTATTTTTTATTAACATTAATTCCTCCGAAAAATATGCGAGTTATGTGGTAGAATGCATATTTTCTGTTTCCGTCATATTTTTTTGTTTCTGTATTTTTTAGTTAAACAAATTGATGTGTTTTTTTAAGTTTAGCCTAATTTTGACCATTTTTCATATAAAATTACATAATGGGTTAATTCTATATTTTTGGAAAATATGTTCGCTATTTTTTGCAGCTATATCTGCGTCTGTCATTGGTTTATTCAAATACTGGTCACTTAGAGGAATGATTTAAAGTAAGGTTAAGTTTTGGTACTAACACTATAACAAGCAGAGCTGCAACAAGTCAGTTTTTATTTATTGCACTTAAGTCTTAAGTCTATGTCTTAAGTCATTTTATTTCAAGTCAAGTCATTTTTGTAAAGACTTAACTCTATATTTTTGACTTAAATCATGATGATCTGCAAGTTAAGTCAGTAAAATGACTTAAATCAATATAATTACCCTCAAGTCAAGACAACCAGAATTCAATTTAAGTACCTTTTTTTAAATGTTAATATTAACTTTCTTATACCAACTAGCCATTTTCTTACTAAATATAATATTATTAATTTATTGTAGATGAGAGATTGTAGATATTATTAATTTATTACAGATGAGACTTAAACCACATAAAATAAAACGGTTAATTTTCAGAACAACTACTAACACAAAAATATGTTTTTTTTTATAAAATTTAACGGATTTTGTAGTAGGTACTTTATAAATATACAGGGTGGTCCGAACTGTATTCCGGAAGCTTCAGCAGCATATTCTGCAGATAAAAATAAGTAAAAAAGTTCTTATAAATGTATGTCCTAAAATGCTTAGTTTCGGAGATACAGGGTGTAGAAGTTTCATTTTTATTTCGATTTTTTCAAAATAATTTCTGAAGTAACATAAATATTTGGATGAAATTTGGTGTCTGGGATTTTTTTGATATGATAAATTCGATTTTGATGTCAATATGGCTCCTACTTGTAGAGGGCGCCTCCTACATATTTTTAACCGATTTTAAGAGTAATAACTTTTCGTCCGTACCTGTATAAACCTACTAAGTCAAAAAATATACATTTACTACGTTTTTAACGTAAAAAAGATCTCTTAATAAAAATCGCTACGAGTAATAGTTCTCGAGATATTTGAAATCGAAATTATCAATACCTGTCATCATTTTCATAAATTAAACATGTTGACTAAATAGTTAATAGACGGAAATCATAAATTTGAAATGTTTTTGTGCCAAATCATCACCAATCATCATGTTTTCGAAGAAAATTTTATGATTAATTTAAAAAAATAAAATTTTTCCAAATTTATCTTTTTAGTCCAATAACTATCTACTCAACATGTTTATTTTTTGTCAATAATAACATGTATTGACTATTCCTATTCTAAATATCTCGAGAAGGGTTGCTCGTAACGATTTTTACCAAGAGACATTTTTTACGTAAAAAAACACGAAAATCTATATTTTTTCACTCAGCAGTTCTATACAGATACGGACAAAGTTGTTGCTCTTCAAAACACTTAAAACACATGTAGGTAGCGCCCTCTACAAATAGAAGTCATAATGACATCAAAATCAAATTTCTCATGTCATAAAACTACCAGGCATCAATTTTCATCCAAATATTGACGTTACTTCAGAAATTATTTGAAAAAAATCGAAATAAAAATGAAATTTCTACACCCTGTATCTCCGATACTAAGCATTTTAGGACATACATTTATAAGAAGTTTTTTACTTCTTTTTATCTGCAGAATATGCTCCCGAAGTTTCCGGAATACAGTTCTGACCACCCTGTATATTAATTACAGATAGATATTATCGAATAATGTCTATTAAAAAATGGTGGTGTGTTTTGATCCCTAGGTAATATGTAACATATCGATGGCTTAAGCTTATAATGACTGGAGGATTTTAAGGTACTCTTCAATATATTCGAGATACATTTCTTTTGTTCGTCTTTCGGGCTACATAACGGAGTCGAGGATTCACTTGAAAGACAACAGACCATAGACTTAAAATGCAACAGACCATAGACTTAAAATGCAACAGACCCACTACGCACGCGTAACACGACAAATATAATCAAAATCGGTTCCGAAAAACTAACATTTTGTTTACTACTGGGTATTGAGCATTGTTTTTTATTCTGCCGCTTGGCTGCTGCCTAACAGTTTAAAAAGAAATGTTGCTGTTAAAAATTTATCATAAAAATATATAAAAATCTGACTTAAGCCTTTTATAAAAAGACTAAGATCTTTTTAATGACAGTTTTCTGTTAGCTTGCAGCTCTGCTAACAAGATCAATGAAGCTTACCTCCGTGTGGTGGTGATTGCCTTCTGCTGAGGAAATCGTCCGAATCTGCATCTTCATCGTCGGCATCGTTCGAGCTGCTGACTGTAGCATCTGCATCCAGCGATAAAAACACACGGAAAGAAACTATTTAAGTTCAAAACAAAGTACGCGGGCTGTACGTCCTAGGTTAAACGAACTACCCACTACAAGGAAAGCTAAGCTAAGTCAAGAACTAAAATGGCGAATACTCAAGGAGCTAATTTAAAAATTAATGACAAAATGGTGAAGGAGTTTTAATTAATTTGAAACCACTATTTTAAAAATATTTAAAATAGTAATTTTGTTAATAACTGCTTGAATATTTTGCACCTTCAATAATAAAGAGACCTAAGTCAAATAATAATTAATTTGTGTTGTGCCACTTTTTGATTGAAGGTGTGATTTATTACATAAAAATAATTATCTTATTTTTATGTTAAAAATCATTAAAGTAATTTAGAATATCAAGCTGTAATAGATTTTATATAATTTTTATAATTGAGAGAAAATAGGTACCTACAGAAAGTATATAAAAAGTATTGTTAAAACTGCTTTGAAGGCACTGTTGAGAATTATTAGGTACGTATAGTTTTTAGTAATTTAAATGTGATATGACGGTAAGTGTGTACTTTAACAAACAAGTTGGAAAAAAATATGCAATCTTGAAATAACCAAAAAATATTTTTTGTCTATATTCTATATTAAACGCGTTAAATTTCTGGGCTGATAAATCAAACAATATAATAAATAAATCAACTACGATCTAAGCGTTTCTCTTAAGGTGTTAATTATTCTAAGTAAACACTATTTTCAACAAATAACTACTAAATGTGATCTATACATAGATATGAATAAAATGTCGCATATGTCTATTATTTTCAAATAAAACCTTTTCCTAATATAATAATGTGGTTATTGTTTGCCTCTTCTAATTCTAACAACTTTTTTAAAATATTTGTAGATGGGTTTTGCTACAAAACTCATCTACATCTGAAACGCTTTAGCTATTTTATGATGTCCAAGTTGTTACCTTTATTTAAAGCAATAGTACCAAACAAAAAGTATAATACATACATCTCAATTAAAGCTACCTCGAAAAAAAAAAGTTTCAATAACCTTTTGTTATAAAACTGGTTATGGTTTTTTAGTTGGGATTATGGTGCAAAGATCGGATTGTTTTAATATTCTATTATATTCTATTCTAGCAAAGTTATGAAGTAGAGTGTCTAAAAGAGTACCTAACAGTGTTTTTTAATATGACGGATTTTTGATATCATAACAGTAACATTTGATGTGTTTATGTATTAAAATAGGTCCCCTACTTGTACGCACCTTACTGGCTATCTTCTGTATGACCCATGTATGACCGATATGTAGAAGTTTTCTCTAATTACAAAAAATACAATTTCTACGATAAAATAATATACATCAGACGGCTTTTTCTGTCATATTTTTGTGATTCTATTTCAAATACACACATTTTGTGTTTTGCTTTTATCCGAATTAAATTATGGATTATTATGCTATATTATTATGGAATATATGCTAATTTTACAGTGTCTAGTAATATACAGGTTGTTAACTGGACAATTACTTATAGGGAAACAGAATGGCAACACTGCCTATTGAAAACGCATGCACTTATAGGGTTTTCTGCCGACTCGTCCTGTCGCGTCGTCTATCGACGAGCGGGCCGAGGTTGCCATATTTCAACCATAAAGCTCTTGCCGCGAGTAATAAACAAATTAACAACCTGTATATCTAAAAGCTAGTCAACAAGATAATTAAATTACTATTACTGTGTCCAGTAAGAATAGTTTCAGATTTTAATTTTTTATTTCAGTTTGGACATCTTGATATTGTATTTTATTTTAAATAATGTATCTGAGTGGCATATCTGATATTTTTGTTATTAAATATATAATTATTATAACTTATTTATTTATAGTAGAAATATTTTTTTAACAATTTTAATAACTAATAACATTTATTGAAAACGCGTAAAACAAAACCAGGAAATTGTTTAGCCGTATAAACGTATATCTTCTCACTATTTAAATAGAATTAGAATGGCACTGATGACCTGGAATTTAAGTCAACCATATTAGGTCCCCATCGCGCTCAACCTAAGTTTGTTGATATGCTCCTTCCTTAATATTTTTATTGTAGGGAACCGATTGGTTCTTAAACTGCCAGAGTAGTTTTTTTTAAATAAATTTTTGTCACATGAAAATGTAGCAGTAACAGTAGCTATTAGAAATTAATTTTAATGTTGCCAAAAATGTGTTGTCATACAGAGAGACCAATTACCAACTTCAAAGGATGAGTGAAAAGAGAATAATGCCTAATTTTGTGGCTTGTGGCTATAAACCCAAATAACCTTACAGATTAGATGAAATACTTTAACTGGTCCACTGCGACCATTTCAGATCTATTGTGGTACTCTTCTGATCCTTAGGTTACATTCTCCGTTTTAAAAAGTCTAGCAACTTGGAGACTGAACCCTTCATATAGCTCTCTGTCGATGGCCTATCATTGTCTGTGTTACTGAGAACTAATTATTTGCCAGGCTGTCGCACTGACATAAAATGTGTTGTGTCGTTTCTTCTTCAGATTCACAGAACCTGCACATGGCTTCATCCGTCAATCCCATTAGCTTTAGATGCCTATTCAGCTTACAATGCCCTGTTAGTAGACCCAATACAGCTCTGACTCTATCTTTTGTTTGTTTATCAGCTTAATGCTTCACTTATGGTTTTGGCGAATACACAAACAACCAAACTTATCACTCTTTATTTATGACTAAACCATCACTCTTTATTTCTGACTAAACTTTTTGCAAGGAAAAAAAATGGCATACAACTTTAAGATAAGGCTTTTTGTTGTAAATAAACATGATAATAAAGAATAAACGACTGCTGCGATTTATTTTCTCTTGAACTTTGAGTTCAGTTGTAAAATCACGATTGTCCGGTAATTTTCATTTGATCCAAAGAAAAAAGAATACCTTATGTTGGATTAACAGATGCATAGAGGGGAAGAATTATTGCTCACATTGAACAAGGAATGCCCCAAAGAGATGTAGCAGAGATAGTAGGCGTTACCCAGAGTGTTGACCGGCTAAATTGGTGCCTTCAACATCAAAACTGGACAATTGAGAATTGGCAAAATGTTCTTTTTTTGGATGAGGCCAGAATTGGCCTAAGATCAGATGACCATCGAATTCGGGTTCTCAGAGCTCCAGGAAGACGAGAATAACCCCAGGCTGCAAAATTTGTAGCAAGATATAAAGGAGGAACTGTAACGTTTTGGGGAGGTATTATGTTGGGAGCAAAAACTCCATTGTTACCACTTACATAACTTACACAAACAATCATTAGGCTTTGGAGAGCTGCAATTGGGGATAATTTTAACTTCATGCAAGATAATTCAGCTCCCCATACCAGCAGAGTCGCTAGAGAATATCTTGAAACGGAAGGTGTCATAGTTTTGGACTGGCCTGCTTGTTCACCAGATCTAAACCCTATCGAACACTTGTGGGACCAGCTCAAAAGAAGGGTTAGAGATCGTCGAAACAATCCAGGAAATCTAGCACAGCTTACTGATGCAGCATTAGCAGAATGGGAAAACATACCCCAAGACAAAACGTTGATAATTTAATAAGAAACATGCCAGCGCGGATAGAAGATTGCATAAGGGCTAGAAGTGGAAACATGGATTATTAAAATTATTAATGTTAAAAGTCTTTGGTAAGGACTGAGTTTTATTCATAAACACAAAATGTTCATACGTCTTAAAAATTATGAAAAATAATAGATGATTCCATATGAGTTTGATTGTGTGTATTCTACCTTTGGTTCTACTATGAACTTTTTCGTCTGTCTTGCCCTGGTAAATTTCTCCACCATTCTAGAGACTTCTTGGCCAACCATCGTTTTGTGGCCATCTCGTGACTGCTTTTGCAACTTGTTTGGTCATTTTATCTGCCTTTTGGTTATCCTTGTGACCCTCGTGCCCTGGTACCCAGGCTAACGTAACATTGCTACGCTCACCCAATGTATTTAGAGCACATTTATTTATTATTAATCTCACACTATAACCTTAGAAAAGTAGATAGCGGAAAATATAGCTAATAATTAATGTTTGTGTATTTTAACTAACTGTACAATCAAAACTATAATAAATTGATGCTAAAACTTAAACAGTTTCCTGATTATGTTTTTTATATTAAAGTAATCCGGCTAACAAGACTGAATTGCGGTTATAGCGTGGGTTAAAGATAAGCCTGGCCATTGACAGTAGTGTTTTACCGGAAGACAAAATGTTAGCTTATGTGATTAGGAAATTACATTTACACCTACTAGTCCTGGACGTATCTTCCGTCGCTTCATTCATTAGATCTGGCAGGCAGATTACTTGGGTCGCTATTCGCTAGACAAACAGACTACGTTTCCATTGTTTATCTTGCAATTTAAACATCATTATATAGAGTGTAAAGGAACGACTAGGGTTAATTGGATTATGGGTCCGACGCATTCATGAAATGAATAAAATAGAGGCACTGGTTCATATGTTTGTTATAAGATACTTTGCTTTACTTGTCAGATTGAGTGAATTTATCTATAATTTCTAAAAATTCTCTAAAATTTTTTTTCAAAGTGTGGGTTTCAGTTGGACTGGCCATTATAATTTTCCGGAGCATATAAATGTTTCACAGTGACGTTTTCAAATATTTTTTTTTATACATTTTTTAAGTTTAAGAGTTTTTGTTAACTTTGACGCTTTGAAGTTGATATGGTTTTCCTTGGACAGACACTATTTTTGCTTAAACATATTTTTTCCAAAAATATTTTATGTTACATACTTGAAATTGCACTAAAACAATACCGGGTGTTCTCAAAAGTGGCTTACCCTTATACCACCTTATACCTTATATATTTTTCAGATATAAAAAAGGCGAAATTTGATTTGTTAGTATAGGACATTAGGATTGATTGACGTTTTCAATCATTTTCGGTTACTTCCTGTTTCACCGGAAATAATAATAACAGTTAATTTTTAAATGGTGCCCTCGGTATTTTTTTTCCTTTACATGATAGAAAATG